GAGTGTTAAATGGCACACCCTGTAGAGATAATTAGATAGTAATTATCCTAAATAAAACTAAACAACTATATGTCAATAGAAAAGCACATACCTAACATATAGTGAAATTGTTCAATATTTTAAAGAAATATCTTGTATTTTTATAGATTGAACATCACCTTTGACAAATACTAACACGAAAAATAGCTATTGTAGAAAGATTTTACTATTTACACATTATATTAGGAGTGTTTCTTCAGGTAACCCCTTGAGAAAGAAATTAATAAATATTAATACCTACAGCAAAACTATATTTAAAAGAACACAAAACTTTTAGAAAAAATTACACTTTAAAATTAGCGCGTCAAAAGTGTTAAATATGACTAAATTAATATGGACTATTTTTTACCCAATTTTTTTTCTTTTTTTTTAATTTATTTTATTATTAGCTCCTTATTTTTTATTCTATTGTTGAGATGTTAAACTAATTCAAATAAATTTAAACAAATTTGATCCAAAAAATTCCTATCAAATGAAGTCAAACAAATTAGTCTTCAAAGAAAGTTATCCATTTATCAATTCATCAGGAATCTTTTAGAGAGTATAGGTATGTGTGCGAAAATATATCGAAAAATTTATTAAATTACAGGGACTCCATTTTCAATACATTTTGTAAAATAATTTAAATCCTGCAGATATTGCATCAAAACATAAAAGTTATTAAACAAAATTTTTTTTTCCCTTTCCTTTTCCTTCACAATAAAATTTTCATTCAAAAAATGACAAAAAATATAATATTTTTTTCAAGTGGCTGTTATACTTAGGTAATGCCTGAAGAAAATATAACCAGCGTACCTTATAGCTTGTCCTCAGTTTGAATTGAGACAATTTTTTTACTTTAAATGTCATTCTGTTAATGTGTTGTAAGTATACGTAAAGTTTCTTTTCAATATCGTCATATTTCGAAAACAAGTTCAAATAGCAGTGTCATTATTTTCACCTCTATGGATCGTAATCGTAAACGTCAGTAAAAAAACAAAATTTCTTTATACCTACATTTATCAGATACCTACGCACTGGTAGCGAAGACTAAATTACAAATTTACATAAATGGGGCTTTAACAAAACATTTTAAAACTAACGTTTTAAGTATAAGAGTATGGAGTATGTATTTGTTTTCAAACTAAAAGAATAGTGAACAAGATTCCTAATGGATATTGAACACGTTGCTGAAAAATCAGTTCAATTTCTTTTGTCAATTTATGACTTAAAATATCTAAATAATAAGTATTTCTCCACCAGTTTTCCTCAAAATGTCCTAATCAGTTCACATCAGGGCATCAATGAGGTCAGGTTCACTTTTGTAAATTTAGCTAGTACTGTCTAATATATCTATAGATGTTATACATTTATTAAATCGTTTTAGTTATGTTATTTCCCTAAGAATTGCTCTGAATTTTTTTATTTTGACAACTTAGGCACCGTAAGGCACTTAATTATAGGTAATAACCTTATGAACACTATCTACATGCATTATAAAAACGGTTTCCAATTAAACCGATCCAAATGTTAATTATGAGAAGAAAATAGGCGTTTCTGATGAACGGCTATAATTCAATGACTCAAATGGACGAGAAGTTGGGTGCAACAAGGCATACGTTGGCAATCACCTGAGGCCTTCAGTAGCAAGTCCATTAGAGCACCCAAGAGCCAATATATTAACCACTCTTTCTCTTTATTTAATTTGTAAACAATTAGTTTGTATTTGTATATTAGAGCGACCCTTTCAACACTATACCTATTTCCTTCCTTGAATACAACAATTTTACAGATAATGTCACTCACTGAAATTTTAATTTTTTCACGACTCGGTCGACACGAATGTGAATTTTTTTTCTGCCTTCAGCCGAAAATGCTATTCGACCAAAATGAAATTATGAATTTTTTAATTAAAACACTACACTGACTAAATTTGTATAAACCTTCTTATCAATTAATTTATATAATTAACTGAAACTGAAATAAAATGAACATTTTATCTGACAAAAGCATATTTGCATATTCAGTAGTTTTTGCAAAATATGCTATTAAGTATATAATAATAATTGATCACATAAAATATCACAAAAAAGTAATTTGTTGTCGACTACCGACTTGGAATAAGACCTCTTTGTAAATTATCTATTTTCGTGATCTTTAATATTAAGTTAATTAATTAATTTGTTGAAAATTCTCAAAAAGATTATCAATTTTCTAGTCAGAAAAGGCAATTTATCTAAAATAAAAGTTTTAGTTTGAGTATCGCAAGTACTTGTAGGTATCGATTTTATATAGGTACCTATTTATATAACTGGCCATTATTAGTAATGGTCGACCATTTATTAAAATAGCAAAATTGATGTGTCAAGTTCAATAATTTTATTGATAACTGAATTTCCTATTTGGTCATTATCCATACTTAATTATACTTAGACGTGATTCGATCTTTTTCGGAACGTGGTAATTTTTTTCAAATCCCACCTTGTCCTCTGCCGAGATGCCAAATGTCCGGATTTCGGAAGATTATCACATTATTGGCAATAAGTATCTTTTTAAGCGAGATTTTAAGGGTATCCTTTTTAATAATTTAAATAATTTTCCAAGGCAACAACAAAATGTTGTACATTAATAGATTTAATATTCGATTTGTAAGCATATAAGTATAGGTTATAGATATGTGGGTTTATTATTATAGATATTATTTATTTAATTATTATTATCATAACCATGTAGTAATATGTACATTAAAGACTAAAGAAATTCTAAAAACTGCATTTACTATATGCTTTGTGACTGTGTTAAACATTACTTATGTTGACGACGCTTCGAGACTTATTAATTTTTTTTGTGTGTGGCTGAATCAAATAAAAAGATAAAATCAAATTTGTTTTTTATTTAAAAAGGACGTCGAATTTATAGTTTTATTTGTTGAAAAAAAAGACAATTAGTCACAACGGCCAAAAGTGGATGGTCATTAAGTATTAGGTAATACTGGCTGATCTAAACCAGAACTGTGAAAGTTTTACTATTTTTTCGTGTTTGGACCACCGAGACTGGCTTAAACTGACAATAGCAGGCCGTTATTAAAAAAGGTCGCATTTCGAGTTCGAGCAGTGACATTGTAAATACAGAAACTGATTTTGCAATGCAAATTTCAATTTGGTTCATTAATATGCTTTTAAATAATTTGCAATATGACAAATTATGCCTAATACTGTTTACTAAATCAAAGATGTTTAGGAAAAGTATAAAAGATGACACATACAGCTATTATAGTCGTTATATACATATAGCTAAAAATGTTTACTTTTGCCTATTTTTATCTTTCCCATTATCCAGTCTATTTGAATTCAGATACATACATACATACATTACATACATATGTACATTATTTGGGAACTAAAATTAGGTATATTTTTCTACGACGACATATACAATAAGAAAAAGTTAGCACACACATGTCGGCATAAAAATCTGTTTCATTATATGTATGAATTAAAGATAAATATTTAATTTCCCTTATAAATATCCACTTATCACATCGCAAAAGTACGTAACAATAGACTAACGACTATTTTGACATGGGAATGATTTGGTATTGTATGACAAAAGCAAAGGGCACACATGTGCACACCCTCAACGTTTCAACAATGTGTTAAACGGCCGGCGGCTTAGTCAAGTAGGCTACACGATTGGTCCCCGAAGGACTCTTGAGTCTCCTGTAATTCAGCAGTTAGTGTGGAAAATTAGCTTAATCATCAACGATTTTGTGATCCCCGCTAGGTTACTATCCTCAGGCCTAATTTTTTATAGGTAGTATTGCCGATTTTACTCTTTATAATGTTGGTGATAGTGTTTTTAGAAAAAAAAAGTCCTGAAAAAATTCCTATTTTTACTGTTTTAAATAGTTACGACGAGATAGCGATAAAATATCTAAATATAATTTGTTCAAACTTAAAGTACAATCCGTAGGTTCTTTTCTTTTGTTAGATTATTGAAGGTACATTCAGTTTTAAGTATGATTTAAATATAGGAATATCTAAGATTACAACATATTACAATTACGAAGTAACTTTGTAGAAGGTAAGATCACCTTAAACGGTTGTAGTTTCTGAGAAATTTGTAGAATGGACAAAATCTGAATAAATCTGGTAGAGATTATTTTCAAGTACAAAACTCAAACTATTGTCATCCTGTTTGCCTGGAAAGTTTGTAAACGCCCCCAAACCTTGGGTCAAATGGTTAAAAATCAATTTAAGTCCCACTTTTTTGAAATGAAGAGACTGTTAGTAGGTAGAAGGTAAATGTATTGTTATCCTTTCTAAGAAATATAAATATGTCAGAAAGATAAATTTTCTCTAGCAGAAACAATTTGGAAACCGCACTCAAACATATACATATACTATCTATAGGTACTTATTTGTAGATATTGTTTGATCTCAATTGAATAATTTTGATAATAACTGTATAATATCAAGAGAATGAACTAAACATATAGGAAATAATGTACTTACTTCTTTCATATACTGTATCTCTACAAACGCTAACTTTTTGACAAAATTGCTATAACAATATTTATTAGAATTTGGACCGATTTCATAATCACTAAGCGTAAGTCGACTTTAAAATAAAGTTGTTAATCACCATAGTAACGTATCGTTGTGTCCATGCTTTAAAGTTTCACTAAATACAAAGAACATTTTATTTTTTTATGTAACCAGTAAATCACGTGGGAGGACGGACATTAAGTAAATATACCCAGGATATATTCACTTATAGATATTTAATTTCTTAAGTCTATTACCTAATTTACTACTTTACCCTCAAGCGATGTTTAATTTTTAAAGTAACAAGCTGGGGATATTTACTTAAATATTATTTTTTATATTTAGTCCGGCGATCGGGTAACATCTTGCTCATGGAACTGATGGAACAGATAGCTAAGTAGGTACTATTTAGGTATATGTATATCTATTACATTCTCATTGAACAGCCGATAATATTTTTTGGTAAATTAACAACGAAATAGTATTACCTGTATGAGTCCTTTTATGAATCTTCAAATTTTCACTCCTCGCAAAAACTTTTCCACAGCCAGGAAAGGGGCAGGGAAACGGTTTTTCTCCCGTGTGTACCCGTATATGGTTCACCAACTTATATTTAGCCTTAAACGGCCTTCCGTTTCTTGAACAGTTCTGCCAAAAACAAGCGTGCGTTGTACATTCTGGACCTCCAACATGTTCCACGGTTAAATGAGTCACAATTTCATGCATACTAGTAAAATGTTTTCCGCAAGTCTTTCTAGGTGGAGGTTGATCGGGATCAATCCAAAGACACTGCATTTCCTGTTTAATAGGTTGCCGCATATATCTAAAAAATGCACCATGTACGTTGGTAGGGTGATGGGGCATAGCCATATGTGGGTTAAGATACTGATGATGATTTGGTTGGGGATGGTATGCGGCATGGTGATCTGTCCTCGAATATAACATTTGATGGTGAGGGGCCAAATGAGGATTATGGTGAGGAGGCATTTCTGAATGGTGATGAAATAGTACGGGGTCAGTAGGAGCTGTCTGAGCCGTCGGAAAGTCGTGATGTTCGCGGCGCAGTAAAAAATCTCTCGCGGCGTATCCTGCGTGAGGATTTAAGTGTCCCATGTGACCATAGTTTGCCTGAAAGTGATGATTCTGGTGTCCTGGGCCTACTTCTGGGGCAGTCATAGCTGCGGCTGGATTCTGATGGGGTGACGGAATCGATGCAGTACCACCATTGTGACCTGGAGACATTTTAATGCCGTACGTCGCTAGATGATGATGACTAGTGTCCATGAACGCATTAATCATTTTTATGATTTTTAGAAGCACTTTGTTTTTGTAGGAGAAAGTATTTCTCAAAAAAACCGCACAAAACACATAATTAAATTTCGAAGGTCACATTTGTCTGTAAAAAAGTACTTGTTCCCCTCATTAATTCTCGGAATATTTTACTTTCCTATAAGACACTGTATCTCACTAGGGTGACTAATGCACCCGGTGTTCACAGCTTGACTGAACACGCCAGTGAGCCATTCTTAGAGTTCTCAAAAAGGGCGGGGAATGCTCTTCCCTTATTGGCAGAAATGAGAACCCCTGCTATTGGCGTTAGAAGCTTCCACTGCCCACTGAGAGAAACCGTTGGTTCATGTAGATCCAATAGCGAGAAGAGGTGTAATGTGATCAAGAGTTTACTTGTTGAGTTCCAATTTTTTTAAGGATGTTTATTTTTAAATGGTGTTAACACTTCTTGGTGGTAATTATTATGAGGGATATATCAAATTTGTACCACAGAAGACAAAGTTGTTTCTTAAGGTATTTATTAGTAAAATAAATATAAGCATATCCTCTTTCCATCAGATAATACAACAATACTGTACTTATATAATAGGTACTATTTAAATATTTCCTAAAACTTTAAAACGTTTTGTAAGTATGTTATGTAATCAGATATATATATATATATATAAAGCAGGAAGGGTAGTCTTGACTGACTAGTTAAGAAAAAAAACCAGTGATGTATTTGGGATTGCAGTCAATAGTGCTAAGGGCTAATGTAATAAGAACACTCTGTGTTGTTGTCAAGCTTTCGGAAATGTTTATTTCCTTTCTCAAGACATCTACGTGAGATTATAATATTAGCCCTTAG